CCTAACGTTTGAATGCCAACTCATGTATATTTTTCAATTAATAAAAGTGACATAAATCAAACAGGCATACCCAAAATGACAGTCACAGATTGTGCAGTACTTTTGCTATTTTGTTAGTTTTCTTCTTCTGTAAGTTTCTTTAAAAACAAAGTTCTCTAGGAAATTGTGTCCTCTTGTGGTCACTGGCAAAAACAACATGTTTTGTGCAGGAAGAATCAATCAAAACAATGGAAATAGGATTTAAGGCTTCAGGAAAAGCCATTTGTGAAAAAAGGAAATCCCTTCAAGTGCAGAGAGATGAAAGTTATGAGTAATCAGAAAAGCAACTTTATCTGGAAAAACACAAAATATAAACCATTAGATTTAGATTTAAATTGCTTGATGATGAAATAGAGAAGATAAAAATGCTTACTAAGCAGGAAGCCTGTGGCCATGATACAAGCCTCCATGAATAACTACATATTTCTTCCATTATTTCTTCAGTTATTCCAGCAGCTCCCCAAAATAGGTGAGAGTGTATTTCACCAAGGTTAACCGGCAGCTAAGGAGGGACCCGACCTCTCTAGCCTGTACAGCCAATAAGCCAATAAAGGTATGTGTGTGGGGGTGGGTGAGGGAGGCTGTTCAATACTCCGTACTTTCCACACGCAGATTCCACTCTACATGCAAGTTCAGCATGTCATGCTTCTTTGCCTTATCCTCATTTGGAATGCAGAATGTCAGGTATTTTAAAGATTAATTTATTTGAAAATTTGATTTGCTCATTTGAGGTGCTCTTGGCAACTCAATTTCTTATGCCATACTCTTTTTCATTTTATTTCTGGACTGAAAGTGTCCCGTTTTATGATTTTAGTTCCTTAAGGGGTTCAGAAGAAGAAATACAGAATCAGTTAAATTCATGAATTAAACTATTATTAAAAGAAAGAGAAGGACTTATTTAGCACAAGGAGTTCAAACACCATCAAGGCTGCCTGTGTTGCTAAGAATCTGCTCTACACAGTCAGAGAAATCACTTGTGCTGACACAAACTTTATATTCCGCTTTGATAACATTCTCTTACTTCGCTATCAAACTAGGCAATCCCTGTGGAGTGTTCAAAACAAGATGAAATCTAAGATGTACACTCTAATTCAACTGCAGCCTTTTCCAATTTGCGCCCCCTTCTGTGTGAATGCTCCTGTGCTCTATTCATGCAATTCAGAGAAATTATTTCACAAAACTCTAAGCCAACCTGCAGGTGGTAGGTCATCCCAAGACTAAGAAGAAAGACTAGGAATAGATTCAAATACTCACCTTTTGTGCAAACCCAGTTCCAAAATGTACTGTCTTGCCAACAATTCTATATAGCATATAAATGTTTCTTTTCCTTCTCTAAAAGTATTTATAAATGATTGTTGCTAAGAGAATGACAGTGCATATACATTCAAACTGGAAAAGTACAGATATATACATACTTACTGCATATGCTCAGTATGAGATTCCTAACTTTGTTTCTTCTAACAGTATTTTTTTTTTCAATTTTTAACACAGCACACATTCCTCAGGAAGGACTGCGAACATGCCAAGTTTGCAGTTTTGAAAACAAAGCTCGTTTTGAAATATCCGAGTGCAAAAGAAAAACTTTTTTGTTTTCAGTTAATTTTTTTCAGGGAATTTATTTTAGAAGTAGACAAAATGATTTAATTCCAATTAATCCAGTATTCCCAAAGAAGGTAGTTCTCCACTACCGTCCTTCAAGTCAAGCTGAGTTCAGCCCCAAAGGGAAATTTCTAAAACTGTTTTTAAGAGCCTGAAATTAGGATTCTCGAACTAAGTCTGCTTTCCCCAGCAAGTGTGGACAAGAAAATTGTTAGATAAAATGTTAGGTAGGATACAGCTACAGATGAACAGGGTGGGACAATCCAGCCACGAAATATTACAGTTTGCAAAGTAGGGAGTATCAAGCCCCAGACATTCTGAGAAGTAATTCATTTGGCAAACCACAGCCTTCTGCTCAAAAAGTATCATGCAGGCACTCAGAATCCCTCTCATTCTCATCCTCCACTCCTTCGAAGAGTTCAAGAGAAATTTCTTCACAGAACTAAAGTCATTCATTGTGACTCTGTCAGGAAGATTCCATGCTGAGATGGTTCTGGTTAGGTCATTCATTTTAAACTCTCTTATTATAAGCATTCTGGCATCCAGGGCACGGCCTCAGCCCCGGGGCGGATCCCTGGTACCCAGTGGCCAGGGACTCTTCATCCCCTAGAAGTTTAGTGACCTGAAAAGGGTTCCGTTCACTTGTTTAAGAACCAGTTTTGGAGACTGACGACTTTGCAAGTCCAGCTGGCTAATGATCCGGGGCTGTTGTGTTTTTGTGGACTCGATTTCTCCTCCAGCTCCTCTGCCCTCATTTCCATCCCCCAACCCCAAATCCCCTTGGTCAGGTAAGGTTTCCTTTTACACTTTGCCCACACTTTCCTGTCTTGCTTACCCATAGCCACAAAGGAAAAAGCCCAATTATTCAATCTCTTTGGTTTTAAGAATTCCACTAAAGGGAAAAGAAAAACAAAATTAAGATTTGGGATTGATTTTTAAAAAGAGAGAGACGTGAAGGTGGAAAATTTTCAAGATTTCTGCAGCCACCTTCAAATAAAAATTGTGGAATAATCGGTGATTCGGAGTTATAAAACAGAACACTTGGTAGAGTGTGGCAGAATTCCTGCCTTATTCTCAGCTTCCAAGAGATAAAATCCTGAAGGCAGGAGATGTAAACAAAAGGGTGACTTAACACAGTACGCTTGGTTTTAAGGATACCTGTCTGCATACTGGTAAGTGGAGTGATCCTTAATTTTCAGACAGGATCTCATTTTAAATGAGGGCAGAGACTCTCCAGGCAGACCAGTTGGCACGCTGTGGTCATTGTTTATGAATCTTTGTAAAAATGGTGATAGCCAAATCCTGCAAGTTGCCTCCAAAGAAGGCACAGCCCCCATTGGACCCCCACGGGAGAGAGGGATGTCTCTTGCCCTCACTTCCCCCCCAGAAGTCTGAGCCCTTCAGCCAGCTCCAGGCGCACCAGACCCCAGGGTTTCCGGACTGAAACTGTGAGCCTCAGCGGGGCACAGCCACATGGCCTGCCCTCCAGTCGCCTGGGCTCCCTCCTCCTCCTCCCCACACCCAAAGTCGCCACCCTCAGTCAGGCCCAGAATGGGGCCTTTCGCTGAGTTAATTCTCATCTGACAGTCCAGTCTGGGGAGAGCGTGAGCGGAGGGCGGCCTGCGCAGGGCACACAACCTCAGCACCCCTAAGTCCCCCTTAAAAACCGACTACTGCTTTTGACCTCTAGTTTGCCTTGCAACTAACGGATGAACACGAAACGGTTATTCTATCCCAACTTGTTCCAAAAAAGAGAAACAAGTCTGGCATTGCAAAGAGGGGTTTCTCTTTCCAAGGCTTTCCTTCCAGCCCACCAACTTTTGTTGCCTCCTATTTGCCAGAATCTGCATTAACACCCTCTTTAGGGCTCTGGGGTTCGTTGTTGTTAACGTATTAGATAGAATTGCTTAAAATATACAAGTGTCCAAGTAGCTGGAACGCCTTTGGGTCACACGCAGCGTAACTGCCCACTCCACCTCCTAGGAATGAAGGGTGGAGAAGGTGCCTCTCACAACCGTCAGCCGCGTGTGTTCGGGGGCTTGAACCCCATCTCTCTCTCTTACGAGCCTACCTTTAGAGATCACAATGTGGGGCTTTGAGAGTAGAGTTGGGATGAAATGCCCACAAGGTCCTCCACCTTGGGCTGGCAGCTTAGGAGATCGGGGCCGCAGCGAAGACGCTGCACTGTCCCTCTCTGGCCCCGGTGCCTTCTCCAAGGACAGGACTGCCTGCGGAGAAAGCACGAACTGTCGCTAGCACGGTTGGAGGTGTAGACTTTTGAGTGGTAGGAACCTTTAGATCGGGTCACTGTGGAGGGAAAAGGAAGGCCCAGATGCTTCTCAGGGAGGGGTGAGAGCAGGCCGGGGAGCAGATCCGCAGTCCCCGCGTCGCGGCCACGTCTTCAAAAACGCCCACGAGCTCAGGGCCAGGAGCGGCTGTTTGGCCTCTGCGACTCTGGGGGCCCGTCTACCTAACTACTGGGGGGAGCTCGGCGGTTGCCAGTACTCCTGCCACTGCCCCCACCCCAGCCATCCCAAAGCGGCCCCACGGACCTAGAGGGTACAGGGGCGAGATGAGACATCACCCACTGCGTAGAAGCTGTTGCTGCCGCTGCTGTCACAGCCACTCCGGGAGGAACTGACACCGGGCACCGGGGCCGAAAGGTCCCCTCCGGCCGCTTTCCGGGGCTGCGCTCGGGTGCGGGGGCGCGGCCCGCGCGCTGCGGCGCGGAAGGAAATCGCCCCGCGCCCGCCTGCGGAGGGCGGCGGAGAGGGAAGGGGGAGGGCAGCGAGGAGGCGGGCAGAGGGGCCGGCCGCCGGAGCCAGGTCGTTTTTGAATGGTTTGGGAGAACGAATTGTTAGACCCTGAGGAAGGGGGGGTGGGGACGGGGAAAGGGGGGCTGGAAAGCGGAAACTTTCCTATAAAACTTCGAAAAGTCCCTCCTCCCCACGTCAGGCCAATGACACTGCTGCCCCCAAACTTTCCGCCTGCACGGAGGTATAAGAGCCTCCAAGTCTGCCGCTTTCGTCCAACTCCCAGACACCTCGCGGGCTCGCGGGCACCGGCAACGTTTCCGAGAGGCCGAGCAGGGTGTGCTTGCGGCCGTTGGGCGCCTTCTTTTTGGACCTCGGGGCCATCCACACCGTCCCCTCCCCCTCCCGCCTCCCTCCCCGCCTCCCCCGCGCGCCCTCCCCGCGGAGATCCTCCCCGTCCCTCCTCCCGCTCCCTCCTCGGCGGGCCGCACCGCCCGGGCCGGCGCCGCGCGCGGGGGAAGCTGGCGGGCTGAGGCGCCCGGCTCTCCTCCTTTTCCCGGGCCGCCCCTCTGCCCCGGGCCTGCGAGGCCGCGCGTTGCCACCTGAGAGATGATGCAGGACGTGTCCAGCTCGCCAGTCTCGCCGGCCGACGACAGCCTGAGCAACAGCGAGGAGGAGCCGGACCGGCAGCAGCCGCCGAGCGGCAAGCGCGGGGGGCGCAAGCGGCGCAGCAGCCGGCGCAGCGCGGGCGGCAGCGCGGGGCCCGGCGGGGCCGCGGGCGGGGGCGTCGGAGGCGGCGACGAGCCGGGCAGCCCGGCCCAGGGCAAGCGCGGCAAGAAGTCTGCGGGCGGCGGCGGCGGCGGCGGCGGCGGCGGCGCCGGGGGCGGCGGCGGCAGCAGCAGCGGCGGCGGCAGCCCGCAGTCGTACGAGGAGCTGCAGACGCAGCGGGTCATGGCCAACGTGCGGGAACGCCAGCGCACGCAGTCGCTGAACGAGGCGTTTGCCGCGCTGCGGAAGATCATCCCCACGCTGCCCTCGGATAAGCTGAGCAAGATCCAGACCCTCAAGTTGGCGGCCAGGTACATCGACTTCCTCTACCAGGTCCTCCAGAGCGACGAGCTGGACTCCAAGATGGCAAGCTGCAGCTATGTGGCCCACGAGCGGCTCAGCTACGCCTTCTCGGTCTGGAGGATGGAGGGGGCCTGGTCCATGTCCGCGTCCCACTAGCAGGCGGAGATCCCCACCCCCTCGGCTGGGCCGGAGACCTAGGTAAGGAACCGGCGCCGCTGGGCCCCTTCGCCCTTCCGCCGCTCAGGTGGCAGACGGACTGACGGCCGGACCGCGGCTCCCCGTCCACCTTGCCTTCCTCAGCTCCCTCTCCCACCCCGCTCTCAGCCTTCCCACCCAGCCGGGCTCCGCCACCTCCACCCCCGAGCTTCCCCGAAAAGCAGGTCGGTCCCGGCTAGGGAGAGGGGGATGCGCCCTGCTGAGGAGTGTACGTGTGCGTGAGTGTGCGTGACAGACAGCAGGGCGGACTGAGAGCGATTCAAGGGTCACGGGTGTAAGGACGACTTTCTTGCCAGCGCCTCCCTTTCTTCTGGCTTTAAGTTTTCGTTCTCCTTAAAACAAATGCTTCCAAATTCCACCTCCTCCTTCTTTCCGCCCACCCACTTCCTCTTGCCCTTGGGCTGAAATCCTTCCAGGTTGTTCAGCGTAATTTCTCAGTAGTGGTGATAAGAACAGTGCTCCCTAGTCTTAGCAAGCAGCCACGAAGACCTAAACAATAACCAACTTTCCCCCCTCTCTGGGTTTTTGCAGATGTCATTGTTTCCAGAGAAGGAGAAAATGGACAGTCTAGAGACTCTGGAGCTGGATAACTAAAAATAAATATATATGCCAAAGATTTTCTTGGAAATTAGAAGAGCAGAACCCAAATTCAAAGAAACAGGGCGTGGGGCGCACTTTTAAAAGAGAAAGCGAGACAGGCCCGTGGACAGTGATTCCCAGACGGGCAGCGGCACCACCCTCACACCTCTACATTCTGATAGAAGTCTGAACAGTTGTTTGTGTTCCTTTTTTTTTTTTTTTTTTTGACGAAGAATGTTTTTTATTTTTTCATGCATGCATTCTCAAGAGGTCGTGCCAATCAGCCACTGAAAGGAAAGGCATCATTATGGACTTTCTCCATTTTAAAATGGTAACAACCAGAGGAATTTTAAGAACGTCTTTAGAAATAAAAATACGGGGATCAAACTGACTTGCAAAATCACAGTCAGTTAATTCCTTTTTACAGCCTTCCTCTGAGAGAAAAAAAAAAAACTTAAAATACAAAAAACAACATTCTATTTATTTATTGATGACCCATGGTAAATGCAAATAGATCCGGTGTCTAAATGCATTCATATTTTTATGATTGTTTTGTAAATATCTTTGTATATTATTTTTCTGCAATAAATAAATATGATTGAAAATTTTAAGAACCTCAGAGTTTGGTCTGTATTTTTAAAGCTCAGGATTAAGCTGGAGGTAAATACCTGCTTGTTTAACTCTGGAAGCACCCAGGAGGGGGGGGGCACTAATATAAACAAAGCAGTGAAAAAGGCAAATAAACTAGCTACTGACAGGCACAGGCATGTTATTTAGAAAGACAGCTTTATTATTATTCCAGTTTGGTGTTCAGTGGGCTTTGTAGCATCTATCCTTCATCTCTTATCATGTCCCCAAATGCAAAAACTTAACAAGTTTGTTATTCACTTCTCTTGCTTATATTTTGAGGAGGCAGCTGTAAAACAGTTAAATGCAAATAAGCAATATGAAGCCAGCACTATTTTCTCTTGTTACTGTGTATTTTTGTCATGCCCTCTGCTGTGTGTGAGGATTTCTAAGTAATAGGTTCATTGCACTGAAAGGATGCACGAAGTTATTAAAATGATCTATTTCTGTACACATATAAATCAGTAGGAATGCATAGAAAATAATAAAGTTTAATTCAGCAGTAAAGATAATTCCATTTGCAAAGGAATTTGCCTAACTTTTTTCATGAATGAAAATGATATTTAGCGTCTTATTTCCTTAAAAGAAAAACCAAAGTTAATATTTTTCCATGTTGATGGTACCATTCAGGAAGCAGTCTCCTTCTTTATATATAAAGAACATATAACTATGGAGTAACATACAATAAACAAAGAACCTGAACTTTCAGTATCTTCAGTAACTATTGGAACAATCACAATTTTAAGTACTAGAGCTATTCATTTTCTAGTGAGCCCATTAGCAAATGTATTTTATTCAAAATGACACAGAATTTTCCCCTGGTTACTTAGAGGTATACAAAACCTGAAGTTAAGTAAAACAGTAACAGCAAAACAAATGGGGCTTGATTTTTTATTTCATTCTGGTTATTTCTGAGCCAGGAAAATATTGGCTTTTATAACTACTATCATTAGAAGTAGTAACTTTGTATTACTTCTTAACTTTTACATCTAGTTGACTGCATTCAGGTGTAATCAGGGAAGCTTTCAAACTGGAAAATAATTTTGCTGTCTAATTCAAACAATGGCTATGGCAAACAAGTGTATATGAATTCAAACAGATCATGTTTGCTCAACTCAGATTGAGGTTGTTATTATCTGAAGGTTTTTGTTTCCCTCCCACACATCATCAGAGAATGCTGACATAACAATATTGTAAATTTACTATTCTGAATATCTTAGACCATGTTTTATGATTAGGAACCTGTAGCATTGACTTACACACTGAGAGATTAGTGAAGGCTTGGGGAATTAATTTTTGATTTTAATAGTCCTTTACCAAATAACTACATGAGCGGGGAAAGTGATTACGTGTGAGTGTACTTGTAGGGTCTGGGTATATTTGTAGAGTGTGTATGTGTGTGTGTATGTTTGAGAGAGAGAAAGAGAAAGTGTGTGTGCGTGTGTGTGTGTGTGTGTGTGTGTGTGTGTGTGTGTGTGTAGGGTAGAAATGTAAGGTGGGTACCCTGGAAGGATGAGTGAGAGCATCAGGTTGGTAATTCTCTCTTCTGTGTGTATCATCCTACCACCTCCATTTTCTAAACTGTTCATGGAGGAATCTCCTTGTTTACTAGCTTGGTATGACTATTTGATATTTCAGATTTCTTGGTGTACATCAAGATGGAGCTGACCATCATTGCTGAGAAGGTAATCTCTCTTATCTCTGATGATAGAAAACCCAGAAGTTTCCAAAAAAATTGCCTTTTAAAATTTTTTTGGTGTTTATTCTCTTTACATTTCTCATAAGAGAAAACCCTTTGGAGAAAAGCAAATGCCATATTTATGTTGCTAACCTGAAGATAGTGTTTCCCCCTAGATTTTCAGGGAAATAAATAAATGAATGAATGAAAGATGATGGATAGCTTTACTTTGAATGAGAATAATTCATGGTGGAAATATTTACTATTAGAATACAATTTTCAGCTTCCGTTTGTATTCCCAATGTCCTCCCCCATATATATGCCAATAGTAATTCTTTTTTAGAAGAAAAATAAAGCCACCTGTGTTTCTCTAGTTCTACCGTTATTTCCTGTTTTCATTTTATTTTTGCTACCTATTCTTATATAAAGGACAATTGGAATGAATTACCTCTGCTTTAGAAGTGAGAATTTAATGTGGTGGCTAGACCGGGGAACTCTATCCTTTAGCCAGAATGCATTTCCTGGAGATAAAATGCTGTATAAAATTGCCTTGGGTGAATTCTAAACTACTGAGTAAGAATGTGCATCTATGTAATTTTTAAAAAATCTTTTTAATTTTGTTGCATTGATAGCCTTCCCTCATAAGAAAGCAGTACATGTTTGTCCTCATATGAGAACATATGCACACATTTCTAAGCACATGCACAGATGATAATTCATGCACAGTTGCAGGTACCATCCCTAAAGTGGTACATATTGTTAATAAAATAACGTTAAATAGCAGAAACTCACATACTGCGTGTACTTTTTTCCCACACTCAACAACGGCACAAACTTCTTGATCCTTCAGTCTTCAGGCTCATGTTCATAATAGAGCTTTTTAAGGGACACTTGGCCTCTTACAAAAAAGTCGAGCATTTTGCACATTCCACGGTTTGGCAAACTCAGAACTGGTTATTTTCTCTAGACCGGTATCAAGTTCTTCTCAGGCATATGATTTCACTTGAAGTCCTGCCCAGGAATCCTTCAAAGTGAGCGTTTGTCCCGCTCTCATGATGTCAGGCGGTTTTCCCTGCATCTGTAATTTGAAGAAAAACAAACAAACCTGCGGGGAACAAACGCCACGGAAACCCAAACAGAACTCCGTGGGGAGCGGGAGTCTCACCTGCGGCGGGCGCGGGAGGGGGGCGCCGGCCCAGACTCCCCTGCGTGGGTGGCGGGCCGGTGCCACACGATGGGGAGAGTGACAATGTCCGTGTCCTCCTCCGACTGCGTGGACGCCCCGGGTCCCGCGCCTGGCTGCTGCGCGGAGGCGGCGGTTCCAAATGTCAGCGGTAGCAAAAGGAGCAGCAGCAACAGAGTCAGGCAAAGGCCCAACCTCAAATTTCCAGAGACAGGCCTGTATTAGCGACAAACAGGGGTCGGGCGGGGGATCCCCAGGGGCCACTTTTCCAGAATTTTCTGCGTGTGTGTCGTAAAGTGTGCCCCACCCCCAGCACCAGCGAAAGTGGAAGGAAAGTACACCAGCAAAGTGGAAGGAGAAATCGGTCACCTCATAATTTCTCAAAGCCGGCAACCCCACTCTTTCCCAAGTAACTTGGAAACCGAGACCTCGAAAATGCAGACAGGATTATTAATGATCCTTATTTACTGAACAGCAAAAGATAGACCCAGTAAACAGGGCATGGGATACTTTTGCCGTTTGCTTTTGTCCCAAGGCCCCAGGACGTGAGCCCACTTAATGTTCTTAGCAAATCAAAGCACGTGTCCTTTGAAGAAGGTGTGTAATTGGAGTTTAAGGCATGTATGGAATTCCCAGATGTCTATAAAGTAAGAAGGAGCATGTGGCAGGTCACTGGAAGGTGGGGCAGGTTAAAATCACTGGCACAAAAATCCCCCCTTTATACTCTCCTTTATAAGGGCCAGGGAGATAAACCTTGGGGACCGGATGGGACAGGATCATAATGAATATCCAGCTTCTCCTATCAGAGTCCTAGTAACCATGGCAAAAAGCACATGGTCAGAAAACCTCAAAGAAAACACTCAATTATAGCCGGGATTTCGTGAGCGCCCTGCAATGAGATCGTTTGGGGTTCGCTGCAGCGCAGGCCTCAAACGGCTGTCTTTCTTGTTTACGTGGACTGTTTTCTTTTCCTTCCATTCCCCAACCCCTCCAGTTTGTCGATGTGTACTTATGCGTGAACAAAATTCCAGATCAGGAAAAGAAAAAAAACATTTCTAAGAACATTCATCCCAAAGGCAGCCTTCTTGGGGGAGGGAGAGATTACGAGCAAGTGAAATGAAATTTCTCTAAAACACGCAGTTTAAACATCTACCAGAGAGATCGAACGTTCGATGAAAAGACAACCATCAGAATCAGCAGCACTCTTTTTTGATTTCACTGAAGAATGTAGAGATGTATAGGAGACTAAGAGCGAGTTTGAATATTGCTTATTAGGCAGTTTTGTTTTCTTTTGTTTTGTTTTTGGTTTGAAGCCGGAACCGAAGGCAATCTCATTTTCCTCATTGGGTTCAAGATGGTGCCTTCATTTACCTGCACGGCGGAGCCAGAGGCGGGAGATGTAAGGATGGGGTCGCCCAAAAACGCTGGCCTTGGCCAAGGTTGGCGTTGGGAGGGGGGCGATGTGGGGTCCCAGGAGGCTGGGGGCCAGAGCGTGGGGGCTAGAACAAAGCGCCACCGAGGCAGGCGGGAGGGCGAAAAGGACCCACCGGGGGTGATGCGAGTGTGACAAGTGAAAAGTTAAGCAGGTACCTGAAGGAAGTTTATCTTGCCCAGATGTTAGGGCTTTTATGAAATGTCACGTGAAGAGAACAGATGTACGATTTGCAAACGGGGCCACGCCTGTAAATACAAGGAAGGCAAATGC